ACACATAGTGTCAGTATCTATGGACATAGAGTAAATTATCAAATAGGACACAACTAAGGCTCCCAGAATACAGGTCTGATAAGAAACCTGTTCCCTTCTCACACCTAAGCTGCCCCTTTCAGGATGGGTGATTTTTGTTTTGTTTTAAATTTCATTTTACATTCCAATCACAGTTCTCCCTTCCACCCCTCATCACACCCCCTTGCCTCCCATCCCCTCTCATCCTCCACAGCCTACCCCCATCCATTCCTCCCAAAGGGTAAGGGCTCCCATGGGGAGTCAACAAAGCCTGGTCCATTAAATTAAGGGAGGATCAAGTCCCTGCATTAAGGTTGAGCATGGTGTCCCACCATAGAGAATTGACTGCCACAAGCTAATGCATGCACCAGGGATAGATCCTGGTCTTACTATCAAGGACCCCTCAGATAGACCAAGCTTTGTAACTGTCTCCCACATGCAGAAGACCAAGTCTTCACGGCTGTTGGTCTAGAGTTCATGAGTTCGAGTTCCCATGAGTTTGGTTTAGCTGTCTCTGTAGATTTCCCCTTCATGATCTTGACCTCCCTTGCTCCCTCTCTTCGACTGGACTCCTGAGTTTAGCCTGATGCTTGGTTGTGTATCTCTGAGTCTGGTTCCATCAATTACTGGATGAAGGCTCTATATTGACAGTTGGGGTATTCACCAATCTGATTACAGGAGGCCAGTTCAAGCACCCTCTCCACTATTGCTAGGAGTCTTAGCTGGGGAATCCTTGTGGATTCCTGGGAATCTCCCTAACTCTTCAGCCCAGATAGCTTCCAGACCGTGGGATGGAGACCAGGCCTGGGTTAGTACAATGTTATGTCAGATATATTTTCATCCAAGCCCTGCAAAGGCTGATTTCCCAGAATGATGTCACATCTAAATGGCAGTACTCATGGGCACAGGGCAATAAAAACAAAAACAAAACTGCTTTTCAAGGATGTTATGAAAATGCACAGAGATGGCACCGTGAGTCCCCAACTCAATCCCCAGCACAGGAAGAGTGCCTGATAGATGAGCACTATTGCACTGTACTGCAGGCACTTAGCTTTGCCAAGGCAGAGACTGCCCGTGCCTAGGTTATTGTGAAAGGCACTTCTGGCCTGGAGAAGGCTGAATTCTGTAAGCAGCAACTGCAGAGTCTATGGGACCAAGACAGAGCTAAACCCAGGGGAGCCAAGAGCGCAACAAAGCTGACATGAGCATGGCCCACAGCCAGAGAAGGCCCGAACTGTGGGAGTCAGGGGAGGCAAACAGAGAGGCATGTGAATAAACTCCAATATCGTCACCAATCACTGCCAAGGCCTGTGACAGAGGAAACAAGAAACCAGCCACCTCAGGGTAGGGATCTGAGCTTGGTCTGGGGCCCAGGCCAGATGGGGCTGAGGCAAAGAGCAGAACCCAGGCCCATGTGCCCAGCAAGCTGTGCCAGCCCAGTCCATGTCAGCCCAGCCAAATTTGAGTTATATCAGGAGAAAGGATCTGTTCAGAAAGCTCACCCATCTCTGCATATTTGCATATTCTATTTTGGGGTCTCTCTTCCTTTTTTTTCCCTTAGCTTCCTAGAAAAGTTCTCGTCATCAATTCCAACTTCACCTCTGTTGAACTGCAAATGCTCAATCATCCCATCTCCTCTCCAACTATTCAGTCACCTCTCCCTTGTTAGCAAGGTTGTCCAGAGATCTCTGACCTCTTTGCCATCATTGCCCCCTACTTATTAAAGGCCAGTTCTTACAACTCAGCTCTCTAGTTCCATTGTAACATCTCCCCAAGGTCACCAAAGCGTAAATTCCTAAGTCCAAGGTCTGCCCTTCTGTGACTAGGCTTGTCTAGCATTTGACACCACTGACCATGTCCTCTGTTCACTTCCTTCTACCCCAGTTTGGTGACCCCTGTTATCTCCTTCCCAGAAGCAGATCTCCTTCCCACACCTCCCAGTCACCATTTCCCATACAGCCTAACTCCTTTGTGGGTATCTCTTTTCTTCCAGGTTTTCCTGGAGAGATGATTTACCTCTTCGTATGATGCCAACACTATCTTGAACTTTTAATTTCCTGATGACTATCTCAGCCCAAGGACCACTACCTGGCTGTCTTAGAGAACCTGACCGTGTCCAAAATGGTCTTGCATTCCACACTGTAACCCCAGTTCCTTATTCTTGGCAGCATCAACCTCTACCTACTCACATCCTGCCTCTTTTCTTTTCCCAGCTCCCAGATCTGGTCTGTCCTTCACACCTCATATCCCTCCCCTCCACCAAACTCCTCTGCTGCAGCTCTGGTTGCAGGCCCTACAATGTCCCATCTGGAGATAGCGAATCTTCTCTGTGGTTGCCTATCCGAAGTCTCACTTCCCACAAATCCAGCCTCCACACAGCTGTCAGATTATCTCACATACAAATCTGGTCCCCCACCCCCACCCCACTGTCCTGCATAAAGACACTCTACAAGCAGGACTCCAGGCACATCACTGAGGCACAAAAAGGCTTGGCACCCAGAAGTCTGGAGAGTTCTGAGTCTTTTCTGCCAATGCAAATGCCTCTCAACGTCAACCCCAGGATCGTGAAGGAAAAGTGGAAACTTCAAGAATTTTGCAGAGTAGGTAAAGAACAACAGGCTGCTGAAGGCATCTCTGGAGTAATGTGTTCTGAGCACCTTCCCTATACTCTGCCCTGAGGAGCAAAAGAGCTCCTCTGGCTGGTACAGCTCTTAACACCGACTCTTCCCCATCTCAGAGCCCACAGCTGAAGAAAGAACACAACTTTGGAGTGAGTTTCTAGTTGTCCACTTCCTAACTATGGATTTGTTGACAAGATTTTCCCTCTGAACCTTTTACACTCTCCAAAGCATGGCAACTATCCCCCAGCCTCTCTCCTTTGCTGTCAGGCCAGACCTGTCAATTCAAGTGGCCCACTGCCTCAACCTTTTCACTCGTCTCCTCCCAAACTTGTCTATTTCCAATCTAGTCTCCAACCAGAAGTCAGAATGACCTTTCTGAAATGCAAATCTGAATCCCCAGTTAAAATTCTGACTTCCTACGATCCCTAACTTTCTCTCCACACCAATAGGCCCACCTGGGTGGCATCCCCTCTCTACTCCCTTCCTTACCCTCCTAATCTAGCTCCAATACCACCTTCCCCAGGCAGCTTCTCTTCACATACATACTCCTAAGTGAGCTTCCTTCCCCCCATGAGATGTCCACCTCAACCTTGGCCTTTCCTGGCCCAGCTTTCATCAAGGGTTAGTGAGCAAGGTCTTCCTGTCTTACCAATAGCACAGTTCTTTATGAGCAAGGCCACCATGTTTACACTGCAGAGGCTCACTGTTTGTTCAAAGAGTGAAAAGCACAATGGCAAGGAAGGCGTCCTCAACCCATGGAAAGCCCCAGGCTCAGAGGGGGCACTTATCAGGCCCAACATGTACTGTTTAAAATATGACCACAGGAAGTAAAGCCAGTGTGCCAAGCCCATGGAGGAAAGACCTGACAAACAGGGGAAACTGTTCAGCTCAATTCTGGGAAGCTGGGTACCAGGTACCAGGAGCTATTCCACAGAGAGCAACAATATCCAAGTGTTCTATAGCACAATGGATGAGCACACTCAGGAGCCCCAGGCAGAGTAGGTTGCCACTGAATGGAGAGCAGCTCTAAGCAAGTTTTATCAAGTGGATTGGAAGGGCTCTGTCAGCCCCATTAGACCACCAACTGGACCTTGGCCTTTGCTTCTACCACAGAGTGAGAGATACTGGGCTCAAAAGAGCTCCCAAGTCTTCACTGCCGACCACAAGCAGGACACCAGGCACATCACTGAGGCACAAAAATGCTTGGCACACAGAAATCTGGAGAGTTCTGAGTCTTTTCTGCCAATGCATATGCCTCTCAACATCAACCCTGGGATTGTGAAGGTAAAGGGGAAACTTCAAGAATTTTGCAGAGTAGGTAAAGAACAAGAGGCTACTGAGGGCATCTTTGAAGTAATGTGTTCTTCTGAGCACCTTCCCTACAACTGTCACTAATATAAAGGTCATAGAGAACAGGATGTGTTGGGGACCAAAAGCACGAGGGTAGTTCAAAGGGACACATGCAATCATCAGGTAACTATAATTGTACTGATGGAAAAATGGCACAGACCAGTTCCATGTGGCTCCTTGTGGTTAAAAAAAAAAAGAAGATTATCAATGGAGTGAATGGAATGTGTGCCAAGGCCAGGCAGGGACAGATCCCTGAGCTTCTGCCCACCCACATCAATCAGTTCCAAACGGGTACAAGCACCGCTGACAATTTCCCCCAAACAGGTGTGAAGCATATGAAGCCCCTCCATCAACTTGGACACATCCATGATGATGCAGGACATGTCCCAGGGAACACTGTCAAGAGGATTGAGAGCACAGATAGATGAGCAGCAGCTGGGGGCTGGTGTCCTCTCGTCAGTATTAATGTTCAGCTGTCTGTACTGCTGTTGTCAGTACTGTTTTTAACTGCTCTCTCTTCATGCCTTTAGGACACTGGAAAGGGACACACTTCCTGACACAGTTTGAGTCCTGGATCAAAGGATGTTTTCTAAGACTCAGGCAGTATGAGGACATGGAATCACTTGAAAAATATTCTTTCCTGCCACACCCAGAATCCACCTAGACACTCCCTAAACCATCACAAATGGTAGTCACTGCTGGCCTTAACTGGAACTTGGCAACTACTCTGAAGGCCAGGTTGTAGACTGGCAACAGCCTTGGGCTCTAAAACACCAAAGTACACAGGAACTATTGCTAGGGCCTTATAGGGTCTATAAGGTGAACATGGGTATTACACACTATCCCCATGATACTAGTCCGAAACTTCCTATCCAGGGCCCAAACCAAGTGGGGAGGGGGGGAGTATCAACCTGATCCTTGATGCCACAGCATCAAAACCATACATCTTGCTTGCCCAGCTGCTCCCACCAGTTAAGATCAATAGGAAGGCCGAGCATTAGACACAGCAGGTGAGTAGACAGACCATCAGATATATTGAGGGTGAGGGGAGTTGGAGGCAACTTCACAAGTGCCTCCTTTGAGGAATTGCCTCTGCAACTTGCTAGGCACTTGGGTACAAGAAGTTCATGGGGCTCCTCCAGCAAAGATCAGCTCCAGGGCTGCTTGGATATCCCCTCCAGTCGCCTGAAGGGCACGGAGGCTCAGCTCATCATCCTGGATGCCCATGTCACGCAACTGCTGCAGCTGAGGCTGCCATTGGCTCTGTGGAAAGACAGGGCAGGCAGAGGTGTTAGCTGGGCTCCTGATGGAACAGTAAGACTCAGAGGTTGTTTTCAGGATACAAAGGGAGAGAGGAGGCCTGCAGCAAAACTGTTGATGCTCAGGGCCATACCATGGATGCTTCAGGAAGACTAAAGATACACTGAAAGGTAAGGAGAACAAATGAGGTTTTACAGCAAAGCAGCTTTGTAGTATTAAACTATTATTTCACTGTTGGGTGATTAAGTTCTACTATGATCAACAAGCTTAGAATCAGTGTTCAAAGTGGAAACAGCTCCTTGCCAAAAGACACATTGATTCATAAGGGTCTTCTTTATTAATATGTTGTCTAGATTTCTGAACATCATTTCTGCCTTCCAGAGTTATTTTGCACACCACTGCATTGAACTCATGGTGTCATGTAATACACTCTAGATCCTGTTTCTCTGGGCCCTCAAATATTGTCATTCAGTAAACAGTAACTCAATAAATGTGCAGAAATATAGTAATATCTTTGAAATCTAAAAAAGGCATACTAATCAATGTATCTTTTCTTAGTGGTACCAACTGTCAGGTGCATGAACTTGATTTTTACTGCCAACATAATCTAAATCTTTGCTCACCAGCTACTGGCTGAGGTGATGCTCGTCTATAATTGTAGTGATTTTCCATTCTCTAGCACACCTGTATCTTAAGGCATCTAGCCTATGGAATATACTACTATCTGTTCTTAAATATTCTCACCATGAAATTAATAATGCATACCAAAATAATGTACATGGGGTATTAAGATACTAGATCCCTGTAAGTCAAGGGCCAGTAAACTTTTTTCAGTAAAGGGCTGGCTACTCACATATTTTAGATTTTTTTTTTTTTCCGAGTCAAGGTTTCTCTGCAGCTTTGGAGGCTGTCCTGGACAGATTTCTAAAGGCTATACAGGCTCTGATGTAATTCTGCCGGTTGTAATGCATAAAAATAGTATAGCCATAGACAATATGTAAAATGGAAAGTGTTCTGAATTTGGTTTATGGGTCATAGTTTGCCAACCCCTGATAGAGACTAATCTAGTGACAACTTGGTTAATGTACTGCCAGGTAAAAGCAAAACAGTTCTGTTTCTTCTGTTTACAAGGACAGAGAAAAGAGTTTAATCAAATCACTGCCTACTTGTAAGAGAATAGCTTGATGAGTCCTAGCAAGAGGTCACATCTGGAAAAGCACTTGCAGGACTGCCCTGGGTTCTACTCCCAGCACCAAATAAACCAGAAGTGGAGGTTGGGGAGGTCAGAATTTCCGAGTAAAGTGAAAACCACTTGCTATTGGAACTTATAAAAAACGTGCCATTCTTCAAGATGACCATTGTGGAGATCGCAGCAGGAATGTTAAATGCTTTCTTTGATGGAGCTTTATTTTAATTTTATTATTTTTTAAAATATGTATGGGTGTTTTGCCTGCATGTATGTTTGTGTTTCTCATGGATGCCTGGTGCTTGAGGAGGCCAGAAGTGAGTGTTGGAGCACAGATTACTCAAGGTCTAGATTCCAAAAACTTGTTATCTACACACACATACACACACGAACGCACGCACACGTGTGCGCGCACACACACCCATACACCCACACACACACACACACACACACACACACACACACACACACACACACGAGGAATAAATTTTGAAAATAACTAAGTCAGGAGTGAGGTCAAGGCAGGGCATCCCTAATTCATGCCCAGTGAGCCTTAAAAAAAAAAAAAAGAAAAAAAAAAAGAAGCGTAACCGCTGAAGTCATGAAACTCTAAAGAGGGTGATGGGCGATTGGGAAGAGACTGCCTTGAGAGAGGAGTAAAGTAGAATGTAGGTACTATGAAAGCTGAGACGGGTCACTGGGACGGAAAGGGTTAAACAAGGAGGAGGTGTTGAAACAGAAGAGGAGGCTGGTTAACAAAAACAAAGAAGGTATGAAAAGTCACATGGAAACCTATTGAGCATCCGTTCCACGGCTGGGAAAAGCTGCTCCTAGAAACTATGGGTTATTAAACAAAACACCAGTGCCAAGGGTGGGATACTGATTAGAGAGTTAATGATTGAGAAGGTTTCAGAGCTCCCAGAAACAATACAGGTTCTTGCCTTCCCTCTGGGTTGCTCACCAGAACTACAATAAGACCCTACTGCTGAAGACACCACACGTTTTGTTAGCATGATACAGAGAAGTAATTCTGGAAGTGAGCTGGAAGCTTCCTCCCTACTGGATCGTTTTCTCAGTCCCCAAAGGTACTATGCAGGCTGCTGAAGGAGCAAAGACATTAATGCTCTTATCCATATGTGAACCCTATGAACTATGAGACCATTTGCCAGGTAACAACAGTAGCACTGCTGTTAAAGGGGTAAACAACTGCTCTATGATTGGCTTTGAGGCCTACTTCATAGGAGGGAATCTATGGCTGGAATGGTAAATCTGACCAAAACCCCATGCTTGGAAGATCACAAGCTCTAAGGGGAAGGGGATTGAATGCTGTTGTCTAAATTGCCTTCTAAATATTTATGCTTGTACACACAGACAAATGTTCCTCTCAACTTCAAGTAGAAAAGCCTCTCTTTCCAATGAATAGTGGTGAATGAAGAGATTCATGGCTGTACAAGGTGCTTTACATCTCTAAAACGAGACTCTTACACCATTCCTTCTAAGGATCAGAGAACACTTCAGAAGAAGGGGTGGGAAGAAATGAAACACTAGATGTGCTACAAGATGTTATCCTCTAGGCAAGACACAAACACACAATAATGAATTCACAGCAGCCATGGATACTTGCACTGACTGAGCCTGCACAGAAAGGCCCATGAAGACAGCTAAGATGGCTCAGTGGGTAAAAGTGCTTGCTTGCCTTGTGGACCAGATGTTCAGAAACCCAGACAGATTATTAATAAAGAAGAACTTGGTTATGAAGCAAAAGATGCTCTTTCGGCAAGAAACTGTTTCTACTTTCAACACTGGTCCTTAGCTTGTTTGTCATGATAGAACTTAACCACCCAACAGTGAAATAATAGTTTTATACTACAAAGCCAAAAGAAATCACAAAAACAAAGTCAGTGAAGAACAGAAAATAATTTCAAAATGATAACAGCTAGAGAAGGCAATCAAAACTGATATGACAAAAAGAAAACATCAAGAGATGTCTCAGCAATTGTAATTGATGAGCCTCCAAAGGGCCCAAGTTGAGTTTTTGTAAAGTTTTTCTTTTCTTTTGGATATGTGGTAGGGGATTTCATGTAGCCCAGGCTGGCCTCAAATTCACTATATTGAGTGAGGATGTCCTTGAACTCCCAATCCCCTGCACTTCCACCTCCTGAGTGCTGAGATTATAAGCACATGTCATCACACCCTGTTTAAAAGTTTTGTTTACTATGAAAGGTAGTGGAAAGTGATCTTTCTATGCTCGTACACTGCATTAGTCAGGGTTTCTGCTGCTGTGATAAAATACCATGACCAAAAGTAACTTGGGAGAAAAGGGTTTATTTCACTTTATAGCTTTTAAGTCAGAGCAGGAACTCAACAAGAGCAGGAACCTGGAGGCAGGAGCTGATGCTGAGGAAGGAATTTATCAATTGAGGCTCCCTCCTTTCAGATGACTCCAGCCTGTGTCAAGTTGACACAAAAACTAGCTAACACATACACAAAAAATATTTCATTTTTGTTTTTTTAAAGTCTTCATATATACATATATATACATACATATATGTATATATAACACAGCATATATACATATTCATGAATATATGTATATGTAGCACAGGCTAATCACCAACTCATAATATTCCTACCTTTTAAGTGTTGAGATCACAGTGTAACACCATGCCTTAATACAAAATCTATTTAGTAAGCACATAATACTCCAGCTTCCGGTTGACTGCAATTCTCTGACATTACAAACAACACTGCTGTGACTGTTTCGGTGTTGTGAAACTGTCATTTTCTATTTACACAAACATCTCCAGGACCATTTCTGAGAAATGGGACTGCCAGGAACCCTGAGTGTACACAGCCATACTTCCTTTTCAGTGAATAGTCTCTTCATACCCTTTCCCACCTTCCTAGGAAGTGCTGGGTCTTAAGCTGCTCTACTTGAGGAGGATGTACCTATCACTTGTCTGACAGGGTTACAACTGTCAGCCTTAAGACTTTGCTTGGGTTTTGCTGTTGATTTTTTTGGCTTTGGTTTTCTAGGGATGAATTCTCACTTTGACAAGCTCAAAGTTTAAAATGACTATATGTAATGGCTCCTGGACTCGGAATTTCAGCCCACATTGTTTCTCTAGTGCTTCATAGTTTCATTACTGTCTACCTCTTCACAGAAAGAAACTGTACAAGTTGTGAGGAGAAGGCAGTGGGGAAGAAACGCAGAGACAAACGGTAAGGCTGTGGAAGGCAGAGAAATGTACCATGTGGCCAAGTGATGGCGGTGCACACCTTTCATCCCAGCACTCAAAAGGCAGAGGCAGGTGGATCCACAAAGTGAGTTCCAGGACAGCTAGGGCTTTTACACAGAGAAAAAGCACACATGTCATCTCAGCTTTGCTTTATGCCAGGTAGAGCCATGAGAGCTTGGAGCTCTGGAGCCCAGTGAACAGGCAACTGGCTGGAGATGAAATAGAAGCAAACACAGGCTGTCCACCTCACTTGATTGCCCATGAGCACCACATGAAGTCATGAAAATCACACAGGCTCGTACCCTGTTTTTACTACTTCATTTCGGTGGGACCCAAACCAATTTCAGAATGATGCTTCCTTCACAGACTCACTGTGAAACAGGCATATAGCAAACAGCTCATACTTGAAGGTATAAGATCCAATGCTGACACTCTGATGCTCCACTTAGCTGCTAGACTGACCTTTTTTCTCTTTAAGGTGTCAAAGTAGAGAGACTCACCTGAAGGCTAGGCTGCCCAGAGGCCTGCAGGGCATGCTGGAGGGCCTGGCTAAAAAGATCGTTGGTGATGGGTGTCCCTGACTGGACACCAGAGGACATTGGCGAGGTGCCTGAAGAATGGCCCTAGATTCAAATAAATAGTCAGCATTATTCCACAGCCACCTCAGTGTCACAGCAGATTGTCAGTGCTGCCACATGACCCCACACCTAACTCCTGCCTCCCCACAGGGGCCTGTTATGAGATAACCACACTATATTATGGGGCACCTAAAAGCAATCTATGTGGACATACAAGATTTCATGCTCTTTTACTCCAGGGAAATGGACTCTGAGACCCCAGGCCCAAACTAGAACCCCAGTTTTAAGACAGGTGGTTTTGGAGGTGGAGTAAATCATGAACAAGACTCTAACCCTGTAGTATCTAGTCCCTGTCATAGGCCTGTGCTGCTGAGTTCTGACTTCTGAGTCCTAAAGGCAAGTAAGTGAAAAGGGGAGTGACCTGAACCACAGCTGAGAAATCCCTACCAGGCCCCAGGACCTAGTGCAAAGAGATCTAGCACCAGGGGTAAGAAAGGTAAATCTTAGCTACTGCAGGGAGTTTTGTTTTTGGCAGCCTGTCCTTAATGTTCCCAATCCTCTCTCCATACCTGGGTGCCAGGAGTTGGTGTATGAGAACTGCTCTCTGGAGTACTGGCCAGGGCCAGGGCAGTGGCCAGCTCACTCTGCGTAATAGGGCGGGGCCCAGCAGCTCCACTGTACCCCAGAGAAGCTGGGCGGGAGCTGGGTGTACTGCTAGAGGGCGTAGACCGGGTGCTCTGGGGGAAAAAGGCATCCAGAATTAGGATAAAAGAACCACACCCATGCCCCCACAATTCCCAGAAAAACTTCTTCCTAAGGTCCCACCTTATAAAAGGAATTATAAGACATGGCCTTGGCCCCCAAAAGTCCCTGTGAACACTTCCTAGCCTTGGGAATAGTAGGTCCTTAAAGAGGTTCAGGTTCCCAGGACCATCTCCCGCAAGGGGCAGGCTGCCATGCCACTCACTGGGTGAAAGTCGTCCTCATCATCCGAGAGCCCGTCAAACAGGAAGCCACCTGGAGGAGAGTGAACAGATTCCAGGAGGAAGAACAGAAAGACCGGCGTAGCTCCAGATCTCAGCTCAAGTTACGCTCCAAATTCATATTTCATCTCTCCCCTTGGAAAATTACAGGACAGATGCACTTCCTGACTCACGCCCTATGCCAACACTATACATAGCTGCTGAGTAAAGCATCCCTGGGCCACGACCAGCTCCTGAGGGGCCTCACCTGGCATATCTCGGTACGAGCTGGAGGGCATGCTTCGGGAAGAGGAGTCAGCTCCTGGCATTGGTGTGCTGCCTGCTACTGAGTGCAGAACCAGGATGATGGCATTGACTAGGGCTGGGTGAGCAGGCACCAATCTAGAAGAGAGGTAGAAAATAACGATCAAGGAAACAGCACCTTTTTCCATGACAGTATGGGTGTTCTCTAGGCCAAGCAAGCCTCAAATTTACTGTGATTGCCTCTGCCTCCAGAGTTCAGGGATTACAAATGTGTGCCCCACATTTAAACTATTCTTCAGCATCTTTTGCTAGGAGGTTTTGTCATCCTGCTGACCTGCCCTTAGCAATGTCAAAAAGGCTCCACTTTTAAGATCCACTCAAAATCCACCACAAATATGCAAAAGCAAAACTACAGGCAAGACATGATAGGAAGTAGAAATGCATGGTTTGGTAGGCTCAGGGTTCAGAATTGGGTCCAGACACCACCTCGTATACAATAGGCAGATTCTGATGACTCCTTTCTCTTCCTAGAGCAGGATTAATTTCTTCACTTGCAAATAAGGGGACACAGCCACTTCTGTCCTTCTAGCTCTAGCATTTTATGGTTCTATATACCTATGTCTACTTTTCCTAGTTTATAATCCCTGACATTTACTACACAAAATCCACCTGGCACACAAAGCTCGCTCTCTCCCCATCCCCTGTCCTCACCATACTGATTCATGATGACACACTTCATGTGCCCCTGCCCATAGGCTTTTCTATTCCTTAAGCAGCGCTTGCTGTTCCTTACATTTTGACACAATTAGAAAGCAGACCTGGGGATAGACTGAATTGACCTCCAAGAAGAGATCCCAGGGCAACAATCAGGTTTCTAGCCTGACCACATGAGGAATGGTACTTTACAAAACAATGGTTATACTTACGTATCTAGCATGCTGGGATCAGCAAAGACAGAGAAGAGGTCTTTGTCCTGGAGAACCCCTGGAAGAGACCAAGATTTCTCTTAGATCCAGAAGGAAGAAGCAGCATTAAACTTCAAAGCAAGCAACTCAATGGGACCCCAAACCAGCCCTCCTGAGAAGAGGAGGAAATAAAGTCAAGGGCATTTTGTCCCAGTGGGAATGCTCCCTGTTCCCCACATTCTCCTGAATTTGGGGACACAGAGTTGCCACGATGGAGGACTGAGAGTCTTTAGGGCTGAGTTTGTGGAATGAGCTTGATTATGTCCCTCATCCCTCAACAGCAGTGTGTCTTCAAAAGATGTTCACAGCCCTCCTTTTCCAAAACCTCACATTTCTTCAAATCTTTTCTTGCACTTACCTAGAGCAATGGGATCACTGCTGAGACCTGGGGTGGCCACAATGATCTGATCCAGAGATTCTTTATTGTTGAGCATCTTAAACACCTGCAGGAGAGACAGGGATGGCTTAGCATTCCAACTAGCGCCACACAGTCATCAAGTACCCACTGCTCTTGACTCCATCCTCTGAATGCTTGTATATGATGCATATACACACCACACAATGGAACACAATGGAACACAGTCCCTGTGGTTCCCCACTACTATCCCTATATTTCTAATACTTCCAAAACAAATGCTCTCATCACAAGCCCAAAAACAGTTTCTCCAGGTTCCCAAAGCCCCTTCCAATCTCCATATGATGATGATTTTACACTGGTATACATTATGAAGGAAGTTCACAGCTATATTAATTCTGCCTGTCAACATTCCATTTCTCCATTGGGGAAATCCATGCTTAAGAGGTGATAGGCAGTTCAACAAAAGTCAAAGATCAAGTCCCATCAGAAAGGTATATGGATTCTGTAGCAGTAACCATATTCAGTCCACAAGGTCAGTCTGAGGAGAGGTTGTGTAATTATCATCATAGGGAATCAACAACCATTGCCTGACAGGCAGGCTTTTGAGGAAAGACAGGATTCTACTGAGGCCCACAAACATGGCAAAAACTCCCAGAGGAACTCTTGGTTGCCATGGCAATGTGCTGTCAGCTCCCAAGCTAAACAAGGATCAGTGTTCACATCATCTCTTGCACTCTTGCTGGAACTCACCGCCTCCCTGTAGGAGGAGCTGCTGTGCAGGGCAGTGTGCAGCACCCGGAACTCCCTCAGGGCAGCCACTTTGTCCACAGGTTCTAGAGGACAAGACACTTAGTTATCCCACAGCAGCCCAGGCTCTGTCATTACCACAGATGTGACAACATTATTTCAGCATTTGTCCAGGTGCAAATTAGTCTACAGAGTTCCTTCCCTCATCACCCTCTAAAATTGTGAGCACGACCTCAGAAAAACCCTTTGTGCCACAAGCATGAAATTTGCACGCTCAATAAATTATCTTCAGTACATTAAAAAAAAAAAGTTCCAGCAGAGAAGGATATCCTGCCATATTTGAAAGAGGCTTTTCTGATCAACAACCCACTGCAGGAATTCTAGCTGTCTTACATTTGAGATGGAAGAATGCATAATCAACTCAGTGAACTCTTACGTAGGGACCTAAAATAAGTTCACTCCAAGCCATCTTAACGATATAGCACTATGCTGACACAATATGTTAAGAGAAAGAAATAGAACACAAATTTGGATGTGCATTCTCTGGTAAAACTATGCAAAATATGTCAGTCTGCATATGGTCTAAGGCTGAAAGAAGCAAGATAAAGAATAACAGTTTCTAGGAGGGACAAGCCTATGGGTAATTCTGTTATTTTCTTTCGGATTTCTTTAATTTTTTTTTAGGTTTCTTTATTATTTTTTATTTACTTATCTTTTAATTATTATGTATTTGTGTGTTTTGCCTGAATGTATGTCTATGTGCCATGTGAGTGCCTGACCATCAGATTCCTTGGAACTGGAGTTACAATTGGTTGTGAGCTATATGCGGGTGCTGGAAATTGAACCAGGGTCCTCTGGAAAGAGCAGACAGTACTATTAACCTTTGAGCCATCTCTCCAGTCCCTGTAATATTATTTTGATTCACAAAAAGATAGAGAAATCAGGGCCAGATGTTAGTGGTGCATGCCTTTAATCCCAACACTCAGGAGGTAGAGGCAGGCAGACCTCTGTGAGTTTGAGGCCAGCCTGGTCTACAAGAGCTAGTTCTAGGACAGCTTCCAAAGCCACAGAGAAACCCTGTCTCAAAAAGCCAAAAAAAAAAAAAAAAAAAAAAAAAAAAAAAAAGAAAGAAAGAAAGAAAGAAAGAAGAGAGAGCGAGAAAGAGAGAGAGAGAGAGAGAGAGAGAGAGAGAGAGAGAGAGAAATCAGACTAGGAAAAACATGTGCCTGGCAACCTGTGCTAAGCCCTGTGTTTGGTCCTAACCACCACAAACAGACAAATAAAAAAACCAAGTCACAATAAAAAGAATCCCAGTAAAGACAAAGGAAGCACAAGGCCCCTGAAAGCTCTGAATAAACTTTTATCATGTGCCAAATAGCAACTTGTTTTTTGATTTCTGGACACTGCGATCTACAAATCCAGGAAAGTCTAGCAGTGGTCGTTCTGCATTTGGTCACCAGACTATCATAACCCATTTCATTGGGGAGGAATCGGAGGAATAGGGGCAGGTAGGAAGTTCACCCTGGGTCACACTTAGTGTCCTTAGGATAATCTAGGTTACATAATAAGTTTATAGACACTAGTCTCAAAGCAAAGTGAACTGTAAGCCTGGAGTTCAGCACAGCAATCATATGATCATGAGGCTGTTGTCTCCTTTGGAAAAGAGATACCATAAGTAAGTTTCCTAACTTATTCATTCAACAAACTGAACAAACCAAGCATTTATCCTGTATCAAGCTTTGGTCAAGTCACAAGAAGGCAAACAATAAGGAATTCTTGGGGCAGTAGGAGAAATGAAACTATGACTCTATATCCAACACATGAACATACAATTATAAAATGCCATATTGAGTTCTTAGGCAGAGACACAGATTGCCAACCATCACTACAAAGTGCTAGCCATCACTACAAGTAAGGCTAGGACCCAAGCTGCCTCCTTGGAGATCATCTAAGAGGGTAGCTTAAAGCAGAATACATGTTTACTGGAAGGAGGTCTTTGAAGTCTAAATGAAAATATAAGAAAGGCATGGGAGAATAATAAGGGGTACTTGATCTCCAGCAGTGCCAAGAAATAAAAAATAAATAAATTAAGCTTTCAGTGAGCAACCCTCCTCCATCAGCCTCTGTTATTCTGTGACCACAGAAGTATATCATCAAATCGACCTCCTTTTGGAAGAAGAATGCTACAGGAGAAAATATCTAAAGTACTATTATTTAAAAAAAAATTATTTTCAGAACTAAATTTAAATTCACCTCCCAATAAAAATTCCATTTGTTTCAAAACTAAACCTGCAGCTAACATGGGGAGAAAAAGGCTCTACATATCCTAAGGCACAGTCTGCTAAAAGTAATGGATGTCTCTGTAGTACTCTTTGGGAAAGAGGCAGCCAGACTAGATGAAAACACAAAGGCTTCTAACCCAGAATAATCTAGGTTTATATCCCAGTTCTAATTCATTTTAATTAAGAGATCTTGAGTAGGTATCCTTCCAATCTTTTTTTTTCCTCCATCTACAAAATGCTAGAATGTGATTAAGTAAGATACCGAAGAAGAAAAACAACCAAACAAAACTAGCTTGCAGAACCCATAACGATTTTCTTCAGTCAATGCCCTCTAACTAAAGAACAGAGGGACAGACCTGCATCTGAACAAGCTAGGTTCAAAGCTCAGTACATGGAGGAGAATATATACCCCAAGAACTGTGGGCATTTTAATCAGAGGATATTAGTAAAGTCAAAGGATTTTGACTTTGATGGATGATTCTGGGGAAAACACAGTTTTGCTCTGAGGTCAACTTTATGATTAGGTTCTTCATAGCTTTATTCAAGAGGAAAGGCAAACTGTAATTGGCAGAGGCAGCAGTCACTCCCATTAGCCAGTGTGAAGGGATATGCAGCTTCTTGTGTGTTTGGACAATGAGTGGGCTTTGCAGATGCTTAGAAACGGTAAGGATCTTATTTTTCACTTGATGTTCTTGTTTGATGATAGTGAACCTTGTAACAGTGGGACTCCAAAGCCTGGCTCTGAGTGTGTGGCTAATTCTTGGATGTGGGACTGCTTCTCTCTCTCTCACTTCCCATATAGATACAAAAGATGTTTTTGTCTTTTATGTTTAAATTGAAACAATAACTTTCAATCTGGTAACTACTCATCTGCAGACACAAACAAGATAAAAATGTGTCAAACTGGTAGTTTAACAAAGCTAACTCTTTAACATTTCTTGGCTTTATAGGTGGAGATGCTTCTAAAACACAAACACAAAAACAACATTGTAAATTCCAAGCAGCAACTTCTATTAATTAAACTAAAAGGGCTTTAGGTTTTGTATAGTTTCTTCAAGAGCAACCTGAATGCTGTTGGAGTATTTTCTGAATACAAATTATCAGTTCAACAGCAGTAGTTAGCTTCCTGAACAAATACCACCTGAGGGAATTTGTCGGAAGATTAGCTCACACAAGAACAAACTGTAGGATTAGAAAAATAAGGTAAGTTTCTGGATTTTGTCTAATGGACATAGCAACAATAAGAGGATGTAAAGTTAACTGAGAAATCAGCTGTTACTAAATAATTTAAATAGACCCATACACCCTACGTGGTTAGAAAACAGTGGATAATGAACTTAAAAAGTAAAAAACTATTATTAGTAGTAACAGTGTCACAACTTAACTCTACCAGTGGGCTCTAATCCAGTAAGGATATAGATAACTCCTACTGCCATCTCAGTAAATGTTTGTTGCACCCAGGACTGTACCTCAAAAATACACAGGCTCTTTCCTTGGAGATATAAGGAAGCTCTGCTCATCTAACTAAGGACAAACCCTCAACTTACCAGGTTTTTGATCAGGCTCAGGCCAAGATTTACGGAGAACATGGACTGTGGACCCAGGCTGAATACCATAGAAGTCAAGGGTCTGGTCATCTTTTAGCTTCCGGCCACAATAGATCAGATCTAAAAAACAACAAGAAACAAACAAACAAAAAAACCTACCCATTTACACTTTTATTTCTCAAAGCAATTTGATTTCTATCTCCTAAGAATCTCAGACAGCTCTCAGGGAATAGGGAACCGGCTCAGTGGGTATGAGCACTTGCTCTGCATGCATAAGGCCCTCAGTTCAAATCCCCAGCACCCACACAAAAAACCAGGCATGGCACATGTGTCTGTAACCCCAGGAGCTGAGGGCAGAGGCAAGCTGGCCATCCAGCCTAACCCAAACCACAAGCCTCAGGTTCAGTGCAAAATCTTGTCTAATGGCAATAGAGTGGAGTAAGAGATAACAGCTGATGTCCTGCTCTGGTCTCTTCAGACACATACATGAGTACATACTCCTGTACATACACACACTAAAAAGAAGGTGAAGTGGCACACATCTATAATCCCAGATACTTCAAAGGCTGAAGCAAATTTGAGGCCACCCTGGGCAATTTAACAAGATCCTGCTTAAACATTAAAAAAAAAAAAATCATATAAACAGGCTTTGGGTACAGCTCAGTGGCAGACTGCTTTCCTATCATATACAAGGCCCTAGATGTAATAGTGAGGGCCTGTGTATGTTGTGAGGATATGAAGAAATATATTTTTGGCCAGGTGTAGTGTTGCATACCTTTTATCCTTTTAGTGTTTGCCTTTTATCAAAGGCAACAGTGAGTTCAGGCCAGCTTGGTCTATATAGTAAGTTCCAGGCCAGTCAGGGCTACAAAGTGAGACCCTATCTCAAAACCAAACAAACCCAATATTTTAAACAATTTTTATCAAGTACAAATACTTAATAAATATATCCACAGAAAAGCTCTAGAGCTCAATACTGTAGAGAATACTTAATCTAAATAAATGGGAAAAAAAAAAAAAAAAAACTAGCAACCAAAAAGGATGAAACTAATCCACCTGTGATAAGAAATGTGTTTTTCACCAGTTGGAACCCTTGACTATCATAAATTACAATTATAATCTCATTTGACTGAACTATACTTAAATCCTTCCTTCATGTACTAGGAATGCCTTGCCAGCCTTCCCTCCAATCATTCATTAAAACAAACAAGAATCCTTCTAATTATCCCTTAAGTCTTAAGAGACAGATTGAGAAATCTTGTCTCATCAGCAACTCTTTGCTCAGCCCACCCCTAATTTTGTTCTCTCAGAGAAAAGACCTCAGCAATATCATAGCTAAGAGTCATAACAAAGTTCTTCAGTGTAACACAACTGAAGTGACAAACAACAGTTTTGTCATATGTCTTGTGTTTCTGCTCATGTAAAACTTAACTCTGGAATGTTAACGTTATGAAGCAACAAATCATAAGCCCTTAATTTATTCTTTCAACTCCTCTCCCAGAGAAGGCCAGAGAAGCAACCCAGCTACATGACTCACCAATCAGTTCCGGGTCTGGGACAGATTCCTGGAGCTTGCCAGCAATAAGCTGCTTTAGAAATGAAATGCTGTAGGCCCCTAGTGAGTATTCCCCCATTTCTGTCTCTGGCAACTGAAGAATTGACTTGGGAGCAAGTGGCTGGTCAGCCAGCTTCACTGCCAGATGCCAGTCTGAGAGAGACATCCTCTCTCTTTCGCGCTCTCTCTTTCTCCCTGTAAAAGAATAAGGCATAAATGGTTAAAGGACAAACAACCATCCTATTCCTCTTCTGAAACCAGGCTAAATGGAAGCTATTTCAGTGCAATACTGCTAAGAAGCACAAGGTACAACATTAGGAAACCAGAACTAGAACCTGGTGTCCTCCCTTTATTCCTCCTACAGTGGACAGCAAAGAATTATCCATGCTTCAGTTTCTTCACCTTAGAAGTGGACATAAAAGACCATTCTGATAGGGATGTTGTGAGGTTCGAGCAAGATCACACAACACACCTTTTAAACACTGATTTCTTTTTTTCTCCTTCAATTTCTGATTTAGCTGTTACAACAGCTTTAACAGGTCTTTGCCTTTCTTGCCTCCACATACCAAAGATTCATGGCGCTACCCAATGTCTTAATGTTTAAAACACAGATCTGATTTAACTGCTTTGAATGCCTTCCAAAGCACCTCTTTGAACAAGTGTCAACTCCACAGCCTGGATTAAAGACCCATTCATTCCGACTCCTACAAGCCCCAGCCCTGCCCCACTTATAACAGTTAGTCTGCTTCACACCAAAGTTGTCCACATGTATGCTTCCGCTCACCTCCTGCCTTTGCATGTAAGTTCTCTTCCCTTTTTGGCCTCTTAGCAAACTCCTACCAAGACCCACACAAATACATTGTTTCCATGCCCTCTTTTTCTTCTCTTGGTCACACATTCCCTGTTCCCTCAAGGCAAAAGAGCAACACAAATCAATAGATTTGAGGATAACTGGCTAGTCAGCCAGCTTCATTACCAGAAGCCAGGCTAAAAGGATATTTTCTTTGCTGCTTTTTCCTTGTAAGACTTGCTCACTTATTAATTTCTCACCATCATTCTCCACCCCACCCCACCCCTACCACCACCAATCTTGAAAGACTTGGAAGCCAAGACTAGAGCTTTTCTAATTCACTGTTTCCAGCCTGGTATATATGAATGCCCACAAAATAAATCAAAAAACTCAAAGGGTGCAAGAGCCTTGCAATGCAAGACAAGTCCTTGTTGTAGGCACTACTTCTTCCGAAGAAGCTTCTTGCAGTAGAGACAAGGCCAAGAAAAAGTTATGACCCTACTCAGCAGACCTCAAGATACTGTCCACCTTCGGTTTAAAGCGAGGAAGGGCTTGGGTTTTTGTATATCGATCTCGATCCTCGCAACCGCCCCCGGGGGCAGGCTTTGTCATCCATATTTTACAGATCAGTAATCAAATTCAGCTCAAGTCACTTGGCCCAAGGTCACAGATACCTAGTCGTGAGTAGGGACACTGTTGCCAACCCCACCTCTCCCGTGGGACCAGTTAGCTACTCCAGACCCACGAGAGCCCCGCGCGCCCAGGGGGCCCAGCGCCCTCACCCGTCCCGCGGAAGGAACCCGGCCGCAGAGAGCCGCCGGTGTAAACACTCACTCTGGCCCTCTTGCCGGAAACCGGAAGCTCCGCGCTGCATTCTGGGGATTATAGTTTTCGCTGAGGCCCCGCCCCTTACAAATGTCCGTTCAGTAGCTCTTAGCAATGCTTCTGGTTCCTAGGAGGCGTGACTTCTAGTAGTTTGAAACTCTAGGCGCGCAGGGTTTCTAATTTTCTGTCAGACAAAATCCTACCAGCTGAGGCAGGGAAACTCGGCGTGGGGTTTTCGGAAACCCGTTGATTCTCGCACTCTCCTGGGATATTTATGAAGCCTGATGATTATTCCGGACTTGGATGGGCTCTAGGCCGCATGACGAACTACCCTCGCCCCCAAGGGGACCGGTTCCTACGAGGACAGGCTCCCCGTGGCCCTTCCAATGAAGACGCTGTCCTCCCGCCGAGTCAGCCTCCTGTGCTTCTCGCTCCTTTCTCCCGGGGAACCTACCTTGTGGCGGCGCACTAGGGCTCCAAAAGTTGAGTCCTTAAAGAGGAGTGATTAAGTAGGGTTTCTGGCACACCGTGAACATGCAACAATGGGGTTTGTATCACAGTCATTCATAGAATCAGTTTGGGGAGGGGAATTTCCACTGAACTTTCATAGAGAAAGTTTTAGATGATTGAGAAACTTTTACTCGATCAAGTTGAATTGTGTTTGCACAGAAGTTAGAATTAGCTAAAGTCAGAGAGTACTGATTGTGGATTCAGGAAATTAGTTCCCAAACTAGGGAAAACAAATGTTGAGGGACGAGTGAGATGGCAGTTAAGGCACTTGCCCCCAAACCTAGGGCCACAGTGTGACGCCCCGTGAAACCACATGGTGGAAGGATAGAACTGACTCCTCAAGACTGCCCTCTGACCACACATTCCCACTGGCGCACACACACCACTAAATAAATGTAATTTTTATAAATGAAGTTATTCATGATAGCTAAACACTGATTCTGTGTATGCAAGTGTAAAAGCTGTATTCTTGTACAGTCAGACCACTCTATAGGACAGAACTAGGGCAGTAACTGAGTAGGACAGCTTGACAGAGAAAATCAAACTACACATAATTACCCCCTCCTGTTCATATATAATATGTGTGCTAGGGAAAGTTTCATAATTTCCAAAGTTCCTCTTCCCTATCATATCCAGTTTTAGATGCAGCCCCTCTTTCAGGAATTCTTAGCTGACTAGCTAAGTGTCTACTAAAGTACTGACACCTAAATGTCATACTTTATTTCATTAAATTTTGTTTAGTACTGTGCCTTGACTGTTTGCCAGAGATGTCAGGAATCCTATCTCCTTTTGTGTTCTCAAAATGGAGCTGAATGCTCATGAAATTCTTTTGTTTGATGTCATCATAATCATGAAAAAATGGGCCCTGTCTTCTTTGTCTTCCATAGTTGGCCAGGACCTGAAACATAGTAGGCTAGCAATAAATGTGTTAAATTAGTAATCAGACCAAAGCTATTAATCAAATATGATTGCCTTATTGTATGTAGCCTTTTGTTCCCAAGACAGGAGATCTCATTTGCAACATATGGTGTTGTAAATAGGCAAATTAATGAAGGAATAAGCTAGAGCCAACCAAAAAGGTTCTGTGGAAACCCAGCAAAGGTCCTAGAAAAAAATAGAGTCCTAAATGCAAGACAAAGAGACATTTGGCAGGAAGGAAAGAGTCCAAGCCAGGTCCTTCAGCCAGTTCATATTTAGAAACTTTGATACCCTTGTCAGCTCTAAGAAAATGCAAGATGATCATTCATTAAACTTTAAAGAGATTATTGAGCCTTGTCAGTAATTCTATTGAAAAACAAATTGTTAAGAATGGACACTTAAATTTTTATTAGTAGTATCTTGAGGGGAGTGCATGTATGTTCATGGGTGTAGGTGTGGGTGGGTGTGTGCTATGGCAAAAGTGTAGTGGTCGTGTGACAATCCGGGTTTTGGTCCTTGCCTTTCCATCCTGTTTGAAACAGGGTCTCTTCAATGCTATATAAACCAGGCTAGATGGCTCAGAAGCCTCTGGAGATTCTCCTGTTTCAACCTCCCATCTCCTGATAGGGGTTTTCTGTGATTACAAATGCCTACACTAGTGCCTCTGGCTTTTCTGTGGATTCTGGAGATCCAAATTCAGATAGTCAAGCTTTTGTGGAAAGTAAGTGTTTTTACCCACTAAACCATCTCCCCAGCTCAACATTTTTTATTTTTGAATTAATGTTTAATAAACTTATAAAAACATAAGGACTTCTGAGTCTCACAAGAAAGTAATTGAAACTTATCTGTAACAGTTTCTGCTACAAACACAAATGTTGGAGCAGAAGAAATGAATCAGTGGTTAAGAGCAATGGCTTATGTATTATTCTTAAAGGCTTAATGTCTTCCTCAGGATCTTTGTACATTTGTTCTCATTCAGACTGATATCCTATTTGACATTTTTTAGTGTTGACTTAATGTTTTCCTACTGACTTTTTTAAAGGATACATTTTTCTGCTCTTTTTTCAGCCTATTATTTCTGTGAATATTTTTGTGTGTGACACTTCTTTGGATATATGGATGTTGCTAGTGCTATGCCAGTGGATTAATACTTGGTTTGTCAAGATCCACAGTACAAACTGTGGATATCACTGGATAGTCTTAGAAATTTTGGCCTCAGTCTTATGCAAAGCACAAGCTTGAGGTTTCACATGGCAAAGAAAAACAGCTCTTCTCATACAGGGGCCCTTTCCAGACCCCTATCCTCAAAGCCAAGCAGAGAGAATGTCCCTTGTCTTCTTGTAGAGGGTAATTATTTTCTTAGTAATCTGACCTTCCACTTAGCAAATATCTTAAGAGTTTCCACTTGATACTGAGATAATCAATTTCAATCTCTGAGAGGCCTTGGGCCCCCAAACCAAAAACTCCCAAGCAAGATGTCCAGAACCACAGATCTTTACAGGGAGATACTCATCAACTCTCAACTTCGCTGATATTTTCAGTTCCTCTTTTATCTTTGGCATCTGGGGATTTCCTGATTCTCCTGTAATTACAGCCATGTAACTTTTAATAAATGTATTTTATATAACATGTATAGTTTTTTAAAATCTGTTATGTATGTTGGTGTTTTGTCTGCAAGCATGTCTGTACACCACATGCATGTCTGGTGCCCATGGAGGGCAGCAGAGGATGTCAGATCTCTTGGGATTGGAGTTACATAGGTTGTTACATATGGATGCTGGAAATTAAACCTGGGTCTTTTGGAAGATCAGCCAGTGCTCTTAACTGCTGAGCAATCTCTCCAGCCAGAATTTCTGTACCTTTTTAAAAGATTTTCTTTTTAAAATTTATCTGTATGGATAAAAATAATCCATATTGATTCATGTACATATGTCAGCATTCTACATGCATCTAGTGCTGAAGGAGGCCACAAGAAGGCACTGGTCCTCTGGAACATGAGTTACAGATGACTGTTAGCTGTAGTGTAGGTGCTGGGAATTGAATGAAGAGCCAGTGCTCTTAACCACTGAGCTATCTCTCCATCCCCCAACTCCTGTACCTTTAAAGTAGGTCTTGATATCTGGTAACACAAATTCTTCAACTTTCTTTTGTTCTAAATTGGGCATGGCTATTTCTTACCAACAGATGACAATTGTTACTTTTTTATGCTCCTAAAATATATATGAACTATATTTTTGGACTAACTGTGCATGAGCAATGTATCCAACTAAATATATGCAGTCAACAAAATTTATACTGCACATTTGTTTAGTAATCTACATATTTCACTTACTTGAATATTTTCACACATGCTGAAACTGTCTTTTGAAAAAGTGATGTTTTTACTATTTCCAAGTTATTTCAAGTTGATAGTAAAGTTGCAAAAATTATACAAAATGGGGACTTCAGAGATGGCTCAGTGGTTAAGAGCATTTGCTATTCTTGCAGAGGACTAGAGATTAGTCCCTAGCACCATATGGTGGCTTATAACCATCCAAACTTTAGTTCCAGGGGATCTTACTCCCTCTTCTGACCTCTGCAGGTACAAGTCCCACATGGTATACATGCATGCAAGCAAACACTCATATACTTAAAAATAAAGTATTTCAAAACTTATTTTTAAAAAAGTGCCAGGTGGTGGTGACGCATGCCTTTAATCCCAGCACTTAAGAGGGAGAGGCAGGCAGATCTCTGTGAGTTTGAGGCCAGCCTGGTTTACAAAGCTACACAGAGAAACCCTGTCTTAGAAAAATAAAAAAATACATATATTATACAAAATAACTTGTTCCTGCCCTTTATCCAAAGTCCCAATTGTTAAAATTTTACAGTATTTACCTTATCTTTTCTTTATATAGGTTAGGCAAGTGCTCTACCACTAAACCACGTCCCTGGCCTCCCCCTTTCTACACACACACACACACACACACACACACACACACACACTTTCAATGATAAGTTTTATGTTATGTATATCTCACCATGTTTTTTAAATAAACAATAAACACTTGAAAGTTTGAGTGATGACTCTTATCAGTCATTGTCCTTGACCTCCACTGATTCTTCTTTTGTTTGGGGTCTAGCCTAAAACTAAACAATGAGATTTCAGAAATGTTTATAAAATGCAAAGATATGTCTTGCATCACAATCGGATCTCTGTGAGTTCAAGGCCAGCCTAGTCTACAAAGCTATACAGGGAAACCCTGTCTCAAAACAAAACAAAAAATAAATAAATAAAATAAAAAGGAGAAATGTAGAAATCAAGTATATACTAGGTGCTTCATGGCCCTGAAAAGGATATACCCAACAAAAGCCTATGACTGAATAATTTTAAGATGAAATAAAGTAATGGATTCCATCCCTAGAACTGCAAAATGGAATCTGCCCTTTCAAGTGCTCTCTGCTAATTATTAGGTGATTTTATTGTATTGTCTTAGTATTTCCTTTTCCTTTTACATTGTGTTGGAATTATCACTATCCTAAAATTCATTCCCTTCACTGATATGGCATGGTATGACCCTCCCACCATGAGTGATGTTCTGCCCCACACCTTAATCCCTCTTCTGTCATGTGACTTGCTATGGCCAATGCTTTGTTGACTGATATGACAGAAGCAGAGTTTGAAATAGACTTGCACATTGGGAGGTGCCCATTTGCAACTCAGCTATTGCTGTGAGAACATGGTAGACACATGGTGCAGA